TTGTGGGGATGCTTTCTTCAAAAGACACAAGTGGCTGGTCAGAGTTGACGGCAAAATAGAGGGAGATTAATATGGAAAATCTTGAGAAAAAAAAAATCTCCAATATGGACAAAAACCCATTTCAGGGCTTTAAAGTCTGCTAATGTCTAGAGATTGGGGTGGAGGTTCACCTTCTGGCAGGACCACAACCCTAAACATACCAGTAGAGATACAATCGAATGATTAAGATCAAAGCATGTTGAAACATTACAGTGGCCCAGTCAAAGTTCAGACCTAAATCTAATTCAGAACATATGGCAAAGGCTGAACATTGATTTTCACAGACCCTCCACAAGCAACTAGACTAAGCATAAGATATTCTGTCAAACCATCAGTCATCACCCCAGACCCGCAGCTGTAGTACGCAGTGAAAGGTGAATCTACAAAGGATTAACTCAGCGGATATGAATATAAATGTACACGACATATTTAAATATTATGTTGTGTAAATTTCTGTAAAAAAGAAAAAAAAATACATTAAAAAAACCCTGTAGAAACCTATGCATCCTTTTTATCGCATTACATCATTTCCCAGTAAAATACACTGGAGCAGTGGCTGTAATGAGCTAAAATATTTGGGGAAAAAAAAGTTTTGTGGATTAAAGAAAAAATAACTAAATATTTTGTTTGACATGGTAGTACATAAACAACGAAATGTGATTAATTTACAATCAATGATTTTCTTTCACATGCGGTTTTAAAGGTTACCTTTGATCATCGGCTAACTTCAAAAGAGCCTTACTCTATATTTTAAGATCTTTCAAAGCTATCAGAATCAGAAATTTGGAAATGTTTTAGAATTTGTCTCTTTAATCAGGCAAGCTCTAAATTTGCTTTTTAATCTGTTAATGAGAACAAAATACTGTTCAGCCTTTGCTTTATCCAAGGGTTTATGACCGCATTTATTTTATAGTTGCATATTTTCTGAGTAATCAGACAGAAGACGTACGTGTGCATCCCTCAAACTTTCAGTGCATCATTGTTTGGAAACCACAGCCAAAATTGTTTCAGTCAATACACAGATTTTTTTTTTGATTTTTTTTTTAACTCTCACTGGGGATTTAGACCTGTGCAGAGACAGAGCAACATGTCACTGCTGCAGGGAACTGGGCTGAGACGAATGAAAGTAAATTCATGTGGTCTCAATTGCCCTGGAATCAAAATCTATGTTACTGAAAAACTGCAGCTGAGACTTGCGCACAAAATACAGAATGTTACATAATATGCGATATGAAAAAAATAAAATGAGATCTAACACAATCCGTTGTCTCTTTAATTAGGCATGCTAAAGCATTATGTATTCAAGACAGTGAGGTTGTTGAACTGCGAGTACTGTCACCTCTGCTTAAAGCGAAGATTCACTCCAGCTAGTCTGTCTTGCTGTGATTTGAGCTCCCTGAGGAGAGCGTATGAGAAATAAACACTGGGGGGAAAAATAATTTACAACAGACTGGCGTCACTTTGCAAAAACTTCCAAAAGTTTGGGGATCTTGTAAATTCTCTCTTCTCTGACAACTCGAAAAGCAAAAGAGCAGATGTTGCTTCATCTCTGTCCATCAGCATCTGGCAGCCACCCGGAGTTAACCACAGGCGGATGTGATGGTATCAATATCAGTAAACACAAATACGCAAATGCACGTCCCGCAGCGTTGTCAAAGTCAAAGACCGGTTTGGTTTGAAAATCTCACCAGGATGCCTGACTTAAAAACAACCAATTATGACGAAAACTGCAATAAGTTTGTGGCAGGGAAATAATTATGAACGGCTATTTACTCTGATACCCATGAATAAAATTCAGTGAAATCGGTTGTCCTCAGATGCTCTGTAAAAGCAAAGGTAGTCCACCTTTGTGTAATTTAATCTCAGTTTAAGCAGCTGTTCTGTGAGGCCTCAGATGCTTGTTCAGAAACAAACTGCCTCATTAAGGCCGAGGGATAAAGCAAACAGGTCATGATACCTCTGAAGGAGCTGCAAAGATCCACAGGCAGTTATTAGTCTTACTCACCACAAATCTCGTCTATGTTAGAAGTGCCAAGGGAAAAAAGCTATTGTTAATTCAGTCTCATTTGTAGTTTTCCACAAGCAATGACAGAAGACTAAGGAAGAAGATGCTCTGCTCAGATTAAACCAAAATTGAGCCTTTTTGTCAGGCAAGCAAAACATTAGGGGGAAAACAAAAATGCTGCACAGCCAGAGATGTTCTCTCCATCTTACAACTTTGAGGTGCATCCCTGCTCCAACGCACCTGAGTCAAAAGAGTGAATTCCCTCTCCAGCAGTAACTCATCTCTGCAGAGGCCTGCCATCGATGATCCAGGTATGTTACAGAAGGGATGAATCTAAAAGCTGCAGGGGAACTTGGGCACGCCTGGCTCAGACCAAAACACATCCATTTGTGAAAATGACCTAATCTAATCTGAGACCTTCATATCGTCTTTCCACCTCGGGATTGTGTACCAATTGTCTTGGTCCATGACATAAAATCTCTATAAAGCAGATCAAGCAGTACGTGAACATCTTCAAGGATTATAAATGTGACCAACAGAAGATGATCAGACAGATGGAATGTAAAAAATAACTCTGTTACGAGAGCAGTACATTCCTACTGCTCTCGTAATTCCTAGGATGTTTAAATGTGTTAATAAAATATATTATAGTCCATTTAGATAATTTGGCAGTATTTAGTAGGTAAGCTGGGTGTCTTAAAGTAGACAGAGGTAATTGCTCTGCATTAGCATCTGCTGCCGTTTGGCTTAATATCATAGTTTTAAACGAAAGCTAGAAAATACGTGTTTGATCAAAGTGAATATGCAGCTACACTAGGAGTTTACAAAGCTGTCCTAAGCTCCCACAGACAAAAGAGTGTTTGTGAAGTCTGTGTGCAATTACAACGCCGCTGGCTCAGACCAGCCTAATTAAGCACATATCACAATGGAAGATGACAAGGAGCCGATGAGAAAACAAAGCAAAGGTAGAGGGGACAAAAAAGAAAAGCAAGTATCTAAGAGAGAGAAGGAAGCAAATGAAGAACTACTTTTTTTTTTACATGGTTAGAAAAGTTAGTGCAGTGTTTGACCTTCACTTCTGCATTACTTGACACCGACCTAAACTGTCTCTGACATAAACTGCTTACTTTACATCAAACGTAATGAGAAATGGCAACAGGCAGAGATGGGCTTCCCCTTCGGGAAAACGAGTAGGTGATGGGATTTCCTCTTTGCCAACATCGGATTTGTGTTTATGAGCCGAGTTTGCGACAGGAATGCAGAGGTATGGCAGGATGATTCTTGAATGTCGCAAGTAGACAGACTATAATACGACTGCCGACATGTAAATGTGTAAACATGGAAATGAGGGAGGAAGTAGACGGCGACATCGACAGAAGCATAATGCTCTCTGGAACTCCAGTGACCCGCGTTTACAGGCCTTATCCATGGAGGGATAAATTATGGAACAGTTGTGAATCCTTCTACAAGTAAGACGTCTATCAAAGATTGTCTTGGAGTAACTCCAAGAGCAAACCAACGACTCATCCAGGAGGTCAAAAAAAAAAACAAGAGAAACACAAGAAGTACTGCACGCCTCACTTGCCTTGGTTTAGGTCTGAGTGAACAAGAAAGAAACTGGACAAAAATGGCCTTAATGGAAGAATTTGAAGGTGAAGCTCACAAAATAACACAAAGATCTGTCTCACCTGTTCAAATTGAAACCCATCTTAATGATCTCCAAGACTACTGGCAGAATGTTCCGTGGACTAAGAGACTAGTGGAACGTTATGAAAGGTACAAGTCCTTTATATATGGTGTAACAATAACTTGGCTTTGAGAAAAAGAACATTACACCAAAAGTTAAATATGGTGCATGGAGGGGGATTGGACAGGGCTCCTTTGGTGCTTCATGATCTGGTTGAAATCCCAAAATGGATGGGACCAAGAAATCCGTTCTCTACTAAAAAAACCATGAGGTAGAATCAGTTTGCCACCTCAAGCCCACTTTGGTGATGATCAGAAGAAAACCAGCACGGCTCTCTCTGAATGGCTAAAAAAACAGTTTAGGAGCATTCTAGTCAAAGTCCAGAATTTCCTTTGATTAAGACAACATGGCATGACCAATAATCTTTCTAGACTAGGTTGGTTTGGATTTTTAACTCTTAGATGAATTTATTCATCATTTGAAAATGTTCTTTTTTTTTGTATTTGCTTTAAATATCTGATAATCAAATTAGTTTGAATATCGTAAATATTAAGACAGAATAAATCTATAAAGAGGATGGATTTTATGTAACTGTAAGTTCAGTTGAAGACCATGAAAGCCTGCATTCAATCCACATACTAAGTGCACAATATTACAACCTACATTTTACAGCTCAAATGATCTGTTTTGTGTCTTAACCAGTACGCAATTCAAACTCTCTACCACTTTTCAAAGAAAACCTACAGACAAAAATACACATCCCGTACATTCACAAGGCCGTGACCCATATTCTTTAATCCACTTTCAAGTGGGATGCGAGAAGCTATCATGTTCATTCTCTCTCATTTTTTTACCACTACTGTGGAACAGAGAATGTGTGTATGGAAAACAGAAACCAGAAATAACACAAGTGTCACATCATTCTTTCATCAAGGCTTGTATTTCAACCCTGCCTTGCATCATCTGAGCTTTGGAGGAAGCTTTGTGACAGAAAATAAGCCTATTCATATGCATAGTGATTACTGTGTGTGTGTGTGTGTTTGTGTGTGTGTGTGAAACATTAAATAGGTCTGGGTAATAAAGCTGATGGCTTGCCACCACTGTATAAATAGAGCCGGGGGATTTGGTCATGTTCAATGTTCCAGTTTCATTACTTCTGGGTGTTCGTCGGATCAAATGGGTTAGAACCAAGTTTCTTAACAGTGAGTAGCCAGAGATGAAAGCAAATAGCAGAGCACTGCATGGGTGATATTATTTTGCGCGACATACCTGACCACACCCTGGACAGTCGTTGCCATTCTCACAGGTTCTGCGTCGGGATTGGATGCCTCCGCCACAGGGCACGTTGCAACGTTCCCAAGCCGACCAGGCCGACCAGTACACATGGGGAGGGCAGGGCAGGTGTTCGTTACAGTACCTTGAGGGGAAGACGGTAAATAACACAAAGGGATGACGTTAGCTCCTTCTGGCTGTCACACTGAGCACAAGATCAAGTTTTTACACGATGAAGTCAGCCATGAACCTACAGAAAAAATACAAAAAAAAAAAAAAAGCATAGCCATAACTTAAATCCACAATCAACAGCCTTTGGAAGCACAAAATCAAGAGCAATCAGAAATATGAAATACAAAACCCCCACTGAAGTAGTTTGAAAAACCTGGAAATGTCTATGCCTGTTTGTAGCCTGGTGCAACAATAGATTACCTCTTTTTCTTTTTAGGTTTAAAGATTTAGATAGTGGGACATCTAGAGAAATATATTTGAGCATCAAGACTTGTGTCAATGTGTGGTTATTTGGCTCTTTGAAAAAATTAAATCATACTTTTCTTTTGTTGTTTCATTTTCTTTTGTGCACACATAAAAAAAAAAAAAAAAAAAAAAAAAAAAAAAAAAAAAAACTGACTCCACTGGTAAATTTGGTCAAAAACAGCCTCTGCTTTTGATCTACTCTCAAAACAACGAGATCACAAGATGAGACGATGCACAAGAATGTGTCAACAAAGACGAAAAGCAATTTTAGGAAAACTGAGAATAAAATGCTTTTGTGGATTACAAAACTGTACTTTGAGGAATCTATAGTAGCTGTGAGACAATTCAGTCCAGCTTTGACTGCTCCTTATATTTTTTTGTTGATCTCATTTCGAATGTCATGCTAATGGAAATTTAAGTGAAACGGCCATTTTGAGCTGACAGGATGGTCTGAAGCTGATGCCAAGCATGGACAATTAGCCACTTGTGACATTCTTGTAGTGTTTAGAAATTGTTCCATCTTATCTGTCGCCTTGTCACTCTTACTTCCAACTGGGTTGCCAAACGGCTTTATCAATATCTCTACAATTGACCGCATTCAGTCAGTTCAATCTGCAGTCTCTATTAGCCAAAGTCAATACAGTGCAACCAGACGACAAGTCAAACAAACTAGCTCCCGCTTTATTTCCCTCACTTTAAACATCAGTGTGATGCTTATACCTTTGTTTTAAATGCAATAATTGGAATTAAGAGATTATGCGCTAGTCTTCAATTCAAACAATAAAATGAGGGGTGTTTTTTTTTTTGCATTCATATTTTGCTTAGAGAGAAGAAATCACAGCAGAGATGAGTAAGGAAACTTCTGCTGCATTCTTCTCTCTCAGACTACTGCACTGGTAAGTAGCAGTAAATAATGCCTTTAATAACTGTTGCGAGCCATTTGGGTCCTGTAAGCACAAATGCCTTCTGCTCCCCACTCCACATAATTCAGTATTTGTCGGTGCTTTTCTCTCGTGATGGAAAATTAAGGCTCACAAAGACAACAGATTTCAGGTGAAATAAAAAGTGAAGAGACAAATCTATGCATCTCTTAGTTAACAAGAAAATTGGCTATTAAATGGAAAGCACAGTGATATAATATCCACGTTTTTCAAATAATGTAATGAGGAATTCATCTGGTAATCATAATCCATCAGAGGGAGAATGGTTGAAGTAAACAGGTGGCCTTCAGTCTTGGTTTGAGAAGCACTTTGTTTCTAAAGAACTCCAATCAAAGTTTCAGCTTAGGGACCAATTTTCCAACATGAGTTTTATAAGATAAATTCTCATCAGTCACAATATCTAATATCTGTACTATCTGGCAATCTCCATTTCAAGCTCTTGAACAGTTGAACAAGCTCTAGCAGGAAGAAACTTCCAGCAGGACCCATCTCAGCTTGAACGTCCATCTGACACGACCAACTGGGGGTTTTGAGAAGACGGAGAAAAATGCACAACAAAGAGAAACAGAAGCAGTGACCCAGAAACACTTTCTGTCTGGGTGATCTGACATGACACTGTTGCCGGACAGTATGCACACAATTAACAAAAATACAAAATGATGTACTTTAATAAAGAAGAAGCCAATGGAGTTAGAGAAATACAAGTGTTTCCTTTGCGTGCTTTGGAAATCTACTTAAACAACATGAACAAAACTAATTAAAATGCAAATGCAAGGAACTGTATTTATCAAACTGAAAATGAATAAAATAAACTGTGGAAAATGTGTTTTTTTTTTTCTTCTTAAGGGTCAGGGTTAGGACTCATTTGATGTCCTCTAATGAGTTTTATAAAAGCTTCTAATAATCTTTCGTGTTTAAAGGCGAGCACATTTGTGTGTCGTCATGAACAATGATATATCAGGGGGTTGCTGCTAAAAATTGCTGCCTACTGCTTTTGGTGAAGCAAATAGCATTAAATAACTTTTCTGAAAGGAGCTTAAAACATTACTTGAAGCTGCAGATAGGGATCAAGTCCAGGACAGCGGCTATAATGCAGAAGCAAACTAAACCCAGACATAAAGTGCTTAAAATTTCCATCATGAATCAATGACCAAGTCTGATAGTTCTCTTAGAGCAGTTGGCTTGAGATCCAAATTGTGAATAGTTTTCTAGAAACTTGTTGACAGAACCTCTGAGAGGTTTATGTGCATTGTAACAAAGACAAATGATATTTTATTTAATTTAGATTTAGCACCTCCGTTAAGCTCGCCATCCCTAATTCTGAGTATCAGTTATTATAGCAACTTGTTCTGTACAGTAGTTGTCAATCAGATATGTTAGTTTTAAAAAAAAAGGTACAACGTAAAAGTACCAACAAAAGTCAAAGAATTCTGTTCCTGCTGAAAGAAAATCTAGAAGTCAAATATTTGCTAAAATGACAAACTTTCGATTAACATGCAACACAGAGAGAGTATGAATTCAAATGGCCTTTTATGCAATGTCACATGCTGTTTTTATTTTAATTATGTAAAGCACTTTGAAATGCCTTGCTGCTGAAATGTGCTATACAAATAAANTTCTCCAGCCATTGGTAGGATTTCCTGATATCAGCCACTTCAGTTATTTGTCGGTGGTACATCCCATGTAGGGGCTTGTCCTCCCATGATGGTTCCTCCAGCACCTTGTCCTCTGTTCCCCATTGCCTGAGACATTCGCTGAGCACATCGTCCGTTGAGGCTTTGTCTCAATGGATTATATATATATATATATATATATATATATATATATAGATATTGGTGTCATTGCTCCAGATCTCCCAAGTTATAAACGTTTCCACATCAGAGATTTATGTGCGCCAAAGACAGAAAATAATATATCAATAAATAAATACATTTACCATTAAGTGACTTAAATAATGTAGGGTAACGTAAGTTTCAATCTATTTATTAATTTGTGGAGTATCTAAAGGATACTGGGAAATATAAAAATAAATAACTTTCACACACAGTTATTTTTTATCTGACGTTTATCTGCGTGGCCCGGTGACGTCAGACAGTCTGGTAATGTCACATATTTCCATTTCAGTAAACTCAGCCAGTCAGAAATAATCTGAACGATCTCGGAGTTGTCTGAGGAAATGTTCTGCTCACAAAAAACTAAAACTGTTTGTTTCATTCATTTAGTTCAAAATCAACATGAGCCAAAAGTTTGAATGCTGCGCTTTGCCTCTGTAGCTGCTGAGTTAATTCATTAGAAAATAATCACATTTAGTGTTTAAGTCAGCAGGAGGAACAGGAGCGCCTCAGGCTGCAGCCTCTGAGCAGATCATCATCAGTGACCCGTAGCGCCTGGTTCCGGTCCGGTCGCGTGCAGGACGTACCTTCTCGTCGTGTCCAATCAGCTGCTTGCACTCCTGGCAGGTGTTGGCGTGGCGCCGCTGGTAGCAGCGGACGCAGATCGGCTCCTCCGCCACCCGGATGAACGTCTGTCCGCTCAGCGACTCGCTGCAGCTCCGGCAGCTCGGCGGCTCGCTCATGGTTCCGACCTGCGGGTCAGAAAGCGGGTCAGAACCAGCGATCTGGAACTGCGGTTCTGCTGCGGCAGAAGGAGGGTAGAGTTCGGGTCTGATAGCAGAACCTCTGCTGGGTCAGAGGAACAGACAGGCTGGAACGTCCTCAGAGGTTCGGGTTTCTATTCTGGTTCGGCTGCCGACCCAGAATGCAGAACCACAACAATGGACTTCCTTCCTGCTCGTTGCTGGACTTCCTGTTCAGAAACATCTGCTGCTTCTTTCAGCAGAACTTCCCCCGAACCCGACCAGGTCAGACCCGAGCCCGACCGGGTCGGACGTGCAGAGTGGGACCACAGGCCTGGTTCTGGTTCCGGTTTGGCCCTGCAGCTCAGACATTAAACAAACACATTCCTTCCTGTCAGTTCTGGTTCTGGACAGGTTTACGGACCGGCTCGGTTCGGCCCGCTTGGAAGTCGGAGCAAGATGGAAAGTGTCCCCGGACGGTTCCGGTGTCAGAACAATCTGGATCATCAGGCGTCATAAACCCGTCCGTTACAGAACCCGTCAGAGCCTCTGGCTCAGATTACATTCAGAACCTTTTATGGAGATTTCACTGCGGCCATCTGGACCGGCGGCCCGGCTGCCTGCTCCATCAGAACCTTATGTTTCAGAAAATTTTACAGCTTTTCCGGACCGAACCGAACCGGGAGAGTCAGAAGCTGGAAAATGGAGGTTCTAGAACCAGATCCAATAAAGTTCTGAATACTCTCTAGAGTAACTTCAATGGGCTCTTTGCACGTACGGCGCTGACGTCACATCCGCATGAGCGAAATGCGGCTTTCTTGTTTCCGCTGTGAGTTACCATGACAGCTAGAAAAGACAAAGTCGTATTTCATACGCAAATAAAGAAATACTATAAACATTGTTATTTAACATTATTATAAGTTTTCATTAATTTCCAAGCAAGCCTGAGTTAAGAAGATGGTGGCTTGTAAATATTTGTTGCTACAAGTTAAAGCTAACGCCGCACAGCAAAGTTTGCAGCCTTCACTTCACTCTGGATCAGCTTCTTCAGCCCAAAACTACCGGAGGAGACGGATGGTAAATAAAGGAGCTTCCTGTGTTATTTCCATGGAGTCACTTCTGTATTCGGCCTGAAAGAGTTTATGGGAACCA